CGAACCCAGGGCTGGGTTTCTTCTCGAACCCAGGGCTGGGTTTCTTCTCGAACCCAGGGCTGGGTTTCTTCTCGAACCCAGGGCTGGGTTTCTTCTCAAACCCAGGGCTGGGTTTCTTCTCGAACCCAGGCACCTGGGTTTCATTTGCACCCAGGCGCTGGGTCTCTTTTTGAATCCGAGCACTGGGTTCCTTCAAGAACCCAAGAACTGGGTTCGTTCGAATCCAAGGGCAAAAAAATTTCTTTTTTTTATTTTTTATTGTGGGTTTGGTTGTTTGATTAAGATGAAGAATTGTTGGGTTCGATATTGAATTGATTGTGTGAATGAAGGATATTGAATTGATTATTTGATTGAATAGATTGTGTGAATGAAGGAAATTTTGAGAAAGAAGATGCTGGAGGAAGAAGATGATGCAAAATTCTAATTTGGTGGGTCTCACTTTTGTTTTTGCGTTTGGTATGACCATGTCATCATTTATCCACGTGTACAACTGACGTGGCTTAAATTTTTGATATATCTGTGAGTTAACGGGCGATTTTTAACGGAAAGACCAAATCGGGGTAAAAATGGTAAACAGTAGGGACCAAATCAGGGATTTTTTTAGTTCAGGGACCAAATCGGGGGTCCGTACAATAGTTCAGGGATCAAAAAGGGGTTTTAACCTTTATAATTTAGACTATAAAATATAAATTATTGAAAAAGAGAAAACCTCTAAAATATTAACAGAGACTCACTTTTCAACTAACAATTTTAATTGTGTAATTTAAACTCTATAATAATTTTGACACAAAAGAATTTATAAAAACATCACTGTTAAATTCAAGAAAGGCCAGAGCCCAGAAGAGCTTGGGTCCACTAACAGATGGGCTTTACAAATCATTGAGCTCGGCCTACGATAGTCAGCCTCCTAGTCCACATCGAAGTACCTTGCACGTGTTTTCTCAACCACGTGACTCAAAGAAAATGTGGGACCTATTCTGATGCTTACAGCATCGGAATCGACGATAAACTTTTTGCTTTTCAGCCTCCGCCTTGGAAAAAAAAAAGGTTAAACCCCTATTTTGGTTCCTAAACTATTGTACGGACCTCTGATTTGGTCCCTAAACTAAAGAAATCCCTAATTTAGTCCTTAAATTATTGTACGGACCCTTGAGTTGGTCCCTAAACAATTATACGGACTCCCAAATTAATCCCTTAACTATTGTACGAATACTCAATTTGGTCTTTACTGTTTACCAATTTAACCCCAATTTGGTCCTTCTGTTAAATAATAACTCAATGACCAAATTGAGGTGAAATTGTAAATAGTAAAGACCAAATTGGGGGTCCGTACAATAGTTCAAGGACTAACTTAGGCCAAATTATATACAGTGGGGATCAAATCGGGGTCCGTACAATAGTTTAAGGACCAAATTAGGGATTTCTTTAGTTCAAGGACCAAATCAAAGGTTTGTATAATAATTCAGGGACCAAAATAAAGATTTAACCAAAAAAAAACATATA